TTTACAGCTAACCAGTCAAGACTTATAATTTATTGTCTGAAATGGGAAGACTGCACCAACCAGTCTTTTCTGTCGCTGGTCCAACAGCATGAAATAGCATGCCTGGTTCTGTCCAGAAGCCAAACTTARCACCCATTTATTTAAAAGGACATTTGATTTATTTTATATTTCTTTATCTTCTTTTACTGCAGTTGGGTTTTTAATTTGCACTGATTTATTGTGACCTGTTTTTATTAGTTTTATCTTGTGAAGCACTTAGGTCGATGCAAGGCGTTGATAAAAGGTGCAATAAGAATAAAGTTTGTTATTATTATATTATTATTATTATTATTAACATAAAAATACAGTCTTAAAAATTATTAATTTTTTTATTAACAATAAAAGAACGCTATGAAACTCAATGTGTAAAGCTCAAACTTTTGCACTACCTTTTTTACTTTACTATTTCTAACATAAAAGATCACATTCAGTTTTCCAATCCATACAAATAAATTTACAGAATTTAGWTTTTTTTTCTGTGATGGTTAAAAAGTAATTCAGTGAAAAAGGGCACCCTCAAATGTCACACATAAAAAATACAAGAAATTGGTGCTTAAAATCTATCATTTAAATACAACTAGTATTGTAATTTTACTTTGTTTTCATTAGGGTCATTACCTCATCACATTTAATAATTGTATTAATCATAAAATAAGCTTAAGTASTTACCACAGAACCTAACAATTTTTAAAAATCTGACTACTTGACAAAATAATTGATAGAATAATTGATTACTAAAATTATCGTTAGCTGCAGCTAGCGTGCATGCTGCACAGCATTTATATGTTCTTCACATGTATTTCTGTTTCCTTCCACAAACCAAAAACATGCATGTCAAGAATGGTAACTAAATGGTACCTAGGTGTGGGTGAGGGTGTTAATTGTTGTTTGTCTCCATGTGACCCTGTATAGCAGTGTTTCCCAAAGTTGGGGTCGGGACCCAAAGTGGGGTCCTGAAACATCAAGGTGGGGTCCTGAAAAGATTTTCTGAATTAACTACATTTTGCCTTAGTTGTTATAAAGGTGTGATGTTAGTATATTTAAAATGGATAAATGTAATGTAAGAAAATTTAGTGTCCATTAACTGAAATCGTGATGAAACTGCATCAATATTGAATAGATTAAAATGTGAAGTGAATGGACCATACAACACCAGTGACTCTGGAGTGAACGCCGGTTTATTGCTGTCTGTGCAAGCAGGAAACCAACGCTGACGAGAAACCGGAAGTCCCAGCTTATAAATACATGTTCTTCAGCATATATAAAAAGGCCTTTATAAATCTGTGCTCTTCAGTGTCTGGTACACCCACTACTGGCCTACGGCTGAATCGCAGACACTCTGAACATTAACGCTCTCTTAACATTTATCATAATTGGTTTTATTATGTGTCGTCATGATGTTCTAGGCATGCATCTAAACCTATTTTAATCAAGACATAATAGTCTAACAAAAGATCATAAGAATCAATTCTTAAAAAGGAAAACTATGAATATGGTGTGGTGCTTCTAAAATCAGTTTCTAAATGACTAACTAAATTTCTTTAGTAGTATGAAAAATATTGTTACTATGCCCATGTTTTGTTGACCTGATACAAATGTTTATCATCCAAAAATAGTTGGGGGCACAGGTCTCTGCTACTGTTATTTTGTGGGTCAAAAGCTGAAAAGTTTGGGAACCACTGCACTTTGGTTCCCAAAGTTGGGCTTGGGACCCAATTATGGGTCATGAAGCAYCTTGGATAATCTCCAGAAATCAATTTAAAGGGTAATAAAATAATTGCTGATGTAATATTTTCCCTATAAGTATTACAAAAACACAAAATAAGTATAAATAAGTATTTATATTTGTGTACAAGCTGTTTAGATTGTCAAAAAGTCTGTGTTTTTAGGGCTATTAACAAAGTTTGTGTACTCAGACCAGTAATATTTGGGGTCACAAGTTTTTGMCWTGGATATTTCGTGGGTCAGAAGATAAAAMGTTTGGGAACCACTGCTGTATARGACTGGAGACCTACCCAGGAAGCATCATGTCTCTCACTATAGATAGAGACCAGCTGCCCACGACCCAGAAAATGGGTAAAGAAAATAGATGGAAGGACAGATTGTGTTCTGACCCTATTCTACTCWGATTTTTTTTATTGTCCATTTCCTGCTGTGACAATGTCCTCCACTGTCCTGTCTGTAAACACCATCCAGAAATCCATTGTGCTTAGTTAAAAGATGAYAGAGACCATCTTATCAACTTATCGCTGAAAAGCCTGCCTTTCATAGTATGTAGGTGAGTAAGTGCTTTTGGCATGGGCAGCTTACACATCCAAAATGGCAGAAAAGTACATACCGCATTTTCTGGACTATACGTTGCACTTTTTCATAGTTTGGCTGATCTTATACTCTAGAGTGACTTATATTTGATTTTATTTGTTTTCATGATGCAGTTTTAGATTGATTCATACTGACTGGCATGAACCAATAAAAACATTACAGTCTGCAGACATGAGAGGGTGYTCTAGGCTTGTGTTCAGCCTACTGCATTGTTGTTTGTTGTTRGCAGAAAGTTTGGAGTGAATGAGTAACTTGTGAGGGGCTGACAAAAAGCAGAGATTATCTTACTGCACTGAAGAAAATGAAGAAAGCTAATCAGATGATGTGAAATGAGATGAACTTTCTGGTAACTTACTAATTGAAAGGCAATGGACCCGGCTGGTTGTGTTTGAACAGAGAGCTGGCTCGCTGTAGACGCTGGCAGGGATCAAAATTTAAAATGCGCAAATCTTATTTAGTTTTGTTTGTGACAACAATAATGAACTGAGGACTGTATCGGACCATCCAGCTATTTGAGGGTAATGACGAGAAGGCGGGACGACGGAGGACGGTAAGCTAATGTTAGCTTGTTGATAATAACAATTTTTTCTTGGTAACTTTTTTGCAAATGCTGTTAAGTTGAACTCGAGTGAAGAAAAAAAAAGTTACAGTTGTTGCAAACAATTCATGTAAAGCTACTCTCAACTGTGTCATCTGTTTATTAAGGCTTTTTGGTATCCCAGGCAGGAGCCATGTTCTGTGTTATTGACTTACAGCATCTATGTTTCTTTTTCTTCATGACACACTTTTTGACTGATGTGACTTACTCCAAAGCAACTTATAGTCTGGAAAATACAGTACAGGTTTAAAACCAACACAAGCTTTCATCCAGCAAAAAAACAGCAACAACAATAACAACAACAACAACAACAACAACAACAACAACAAAGACAACCCAAGACTGTTTAAACAGCTAGAGTCCTACATCAGACATGAATTGAATAATGTTCCCTTCCAAACCTTTCAGAACCTGGTCTTCTTACTTCTTAAATATTTCTAGACTGGAAGTTACAACACGGTTCTGTCAGTGCATTCTGTTTTTTAGTTACATTTTACACAACGTCTCAACATTTTCAAAGTTGGAGGAATACATCTTACTTGTGTGAAAACCTGTTATGGTTACATTAGTTGTTGAGGACCATGAGTAACAGCAGGTAGGTGTGATGTGCTGTCAGTGTGGTGGATGCACATTAGAATAAAATGAGCAAGTGTTGCTCACCTTGAACTCTCTGCAGCTTGGTGCGACCGAAGGCCATGGGCAGGTTCAGGGGAATGAAGTGTTCGTGGTTACACAGGGTCATGAGGAACTCAAACTTCATTTCTGTCAACACCTGCACGGAAAACATATGCACATGTGGGGCTGTTACACGCAAATATTCAAATTACTGCCATCAGAGCATCCAGACTAAAAACATTTGTTTAAAAGCAAGCTGATGGTTTACGTGTRTCTGTGGTTTTTCCTCTTTGCCAGTCAAATGCAATGACTGAACAGAGAGAAAGGCACAGTGGAAAATAAATCAAAAATGACATACTGAGTAACAAATAGCGTGCCATCTCACAYAGCATTGACATTGAGTGTCTTTTGACCTCATTTGGATTTAATAAAATGCGTTTGACCTGATGAAGACAAGCTGATCTGTTTAAACAGTTATTTCAGGACAACTTGTGAATGTGTGACAGCTGTTTGATGCCATGCTCATACCTTTGGATCTTTGAGACCAAAGTGGCACATGTAGTGGTTGATGAGTCCGAACGCGAAACCCCTGTTCATGAACGTCAGGCACCTCTGGAAAAACAGTGACTAACAAATCAGATACTGATAAACTATTGTTTTGAGACATCAAAACAGGAAGTCATTCGAGTGGATTACTGKAGGTTAAACCAGAAAACCAACTGTTTGACTTGAAAAAGGAGAAATAAGTTTCCTCATTTGAATGTGTGTTTCAGACCTTGATGAGACTCGCCAGGCTAATGTTAATGCTCCGAGCTTCCTCTGGGATTTCCTTGTGTCGAATGGTGATGTGTGGCATGATGGACAGCACCAGGGACTGCAGCGCTTGGTGGAAACTGTCCGGGAAACGCTGAGGCCGCGGCATCTGTGTGATACGGTTCATTCATTTACAGTTCATTTATAGACAACACACAAAAGCAATATCACAAATAAAAAACAACCCCTGCAATGTTTAAATTTTCTTTATAAATAAATATTTGGAAGACATCATCCTTTCTGATCAATTAAAAAAACAGAATAGCTTTTTAAAGGCATTTCTTGACAAGTAGGGGTCTCTGAAGTAGATAGGTGGAGTTTCTTGTTGTGTGGGCGGAGTTTGTCCTATCCGTGACAGGAGGAGTTCTCTGTGTGGGCGGAGTCTGTGCTAAACATACTTTGTGTAGATGGTGTGTGGGCGGAGTTTGTCCTAAACATAGTTGATGTAGTTGGTGTGTGGGCGGAGTTTGTCCTAAACATACTTTGTGTAGTTGGTGTGTGGGCGGAGTTTGTCCTAAACACGTTAGTGTAGTTGGTGTGTGGGCGGAGTTTGTGCTAAACATTGTTGGTGTAGTTTATCCTAAACATGTTAGTGTAGTTGGTGTTTGGGTAGAGTTGGTCCTATCCATGATTAGCAGAGGTTGATAGGTGGAGTCTGGCTGTGGGCGGAGCTTGCCCAAAACGTAATTGGTTGGATTGATTGTCTTGTGTGCAATTTAAAAATTTAAGTAATGGTAACATTTAAATTATTGTGAACATGTACTCATGATTTATTAACTTCAGATTTTGTGCAGTTAGCACCTTCCTGTCTCGAGTTATGGTCAAGTTAATATTTATATTTTAAAAATATAGGTGCTACCTGGCTGTTTCGACCAAGTGACCCCCAGCTGCCCCCAGTTTCTTCAAACCCCACCCAAAATAGTCAATCCAACCAATCATGTCTTTAGCAATCTACACCCACAAAAGAAGAAACTCCTACTTACTGACTGCAGAGACCTCTTTCTTGAAGGAATGCATGTCAGTGTCTGCCTTTCATGTCTAAGTTCTAGACTAAGTCATCTTATGTTGAAAAAGGATGGCGTTGTAGCCATTTTGGGCAGACCTTGTAAATCAAGTCATGCTTGATCTAGTGATTTTGCCAAATGTGATAGCACTCAGAGTGTGTTGAGAAGTACTCTCAGCTGCTACTAAACAAAAATGTTTGTTCAAATGTCTGTAAAATTGGTTGAGTTTTGTCCATTTTTGTGTTTCCAAAGATAACAAGGCTGTGGCAGCCATTTTGAATTGGGTTCCTCCAAAAGTTAATCAGTTAAAGAGGTACTGTGCATCCAGCTTTAACTTTCCCAGATTAATCCATCCAGTGGTTCATGAGATATTTTGCTAAAAGGAGAGAAAGAGTTCACTTCAATAGATCTCTACCTTACTGGTTTAAAATGTTCAATAACCATCAACCTGRAAATATTCTAAATTTATGTTAACAAACTTTAGAAAATATAGTTGAGATTTGATGCTAAGAACCTGTTTGTATGAGAACATTAAAAATATTAAGGCAAGCAGAGGTTTTTGGCCACAAACTGTCACATAAGAGGAACTTTTAGTTAGTTTATTTCAAACATGTATATAAAAAAAAAAAAGATAAAAAGTGATAACAAAATTAACATATTTGAAAAGGAATGGGAAGAAGTAAAAAATGTATTTAATCCCTGAAACTACACCCTAATTTTTTTCAGAGATAGCCATCATAATAACTAAGTCCAAACATTTCAAACAGTAGAGTCAGTATGAAGACAAATTAGCTCCATATGACTGACGCTGTACGCCATCACTCTGAGTTGTGTTTAGGTGTCTTGACATGTTTTGCTTCTTCACAGAATGAAAAATTCCTCCGAGAAAAGGACCTTTATTATTTGTGCCACTGAAAACCAACCTTGATGCGGTTTTCCACCTGAAGAAACTGGGCCATGGACTTTGCCATGGTTTCAAAGAAGAACCATGAGTACTGCAGAGAGACACATGAACAGAGCAGAGTTACAACTAGTCTGGATTCAGTAAGTCCTCCCACGCAGTCTTCCTGAGAAAATACCAACAGGAGTAACCACAAGTGGAGCTGATGAAAAGGAAAAACATCAGAAGGATCAAGCAATCGGAGCAAGCAGCTACACGTTGAAATATTTTKAACACATACAGTGGTGGTTGTAAACTGACATGCTTTGCTTTTTTCAAGGAAAATGATGCTCCCTGCTGGTCAGAGTTGCTACAGCTGCTGCATGGGATGACAAAGAAGCAAAATGGTTTTGGCTGAACACACCTTGAGCAGTTTGTTGATGGTGTTGAAATCAGCAGTTTGTTTGAGGACAGCTGTTACAGCCGTGGCCAGCACCTCGTGAGTAGTCGCAGAGCTTCCAGACTCAGGTGTCAAAAACACATACTACGATGTATTTTAAAAAAGAACAAGAGTTGTGCTTTAACTTGAAAACAACAAACTTTTTTGCTAAACTTTAGCAAAATATGAGTGGTGCAATTTGGAAAACGTTTTGTTTGCGTGTGTTGTCACCTTAACAAAAGAGCGCAGGTAATGTTCCAGTCCCTCCTCATGACATTTGGAAACTATATGTATAATCACTCTGAAAGGAAAAAGCAGGAAACATTCATGGAAATCTGCTTTTAGACACAAGAGATGCCTTCATTACTGTAAATCTTAATAATTTATTTCAAATCCTATAATAATTAAATAATTTAAGAAACAGGAACTTCTAATTTAACTTGACCTGCAGCCCTACTTATATGTGGAGTTCTTCAAGGCTGCATCCTCGGTCCTATCTTGTTCTCACTTCATATTTTGCTTTGGGTCTCTTTCTAAAAGGATACTCAAGAGAACTTTGAAATGAAATACTGTCTAATAGTTAATTTTGTACCCAATCAGCTGTGATATTTGTCAGAGGGAAAGGACTTGGTCCCGAATAGGCAAATAGCTAGACAAATTAGTAACAGTTTGTTTAATTGTTTCTCAGGACTATAAAACAACTCTCTCAAAAACCACATACCGATTCCAATAAGCTCTAACCACTTAAACATTCCTCAGTGGAATATTGGACACATACTGTATTTCCAGATCTGCCTATCTCCATTTATTTAAGTGAACTAAAAATTGAAAATATATGAATTCATAAATAAGGGGGTTGATGCCAATTACAGAACAAAGGTAGTCGAAAAGTGTAGGATGTGGGTGCAGAAGGGTTGGATGTTTTGCAAGCTACGCACACAGGATTAGGCAGTGATTTTTCAACAACTGAGAGGTTGGTTTCTCTCAACTAATGAGAGAAAGAGAAGTGACCAACTGACCGCAGGGAGTTGACGGCAATCTCGTGAGCTTCTTTGGAGGCAGCTGTGAGCACCTCAAACAGCTGCATGAGCACTGTTGGTAGGAAGGTGATGATGATGTGAGTCTCCACGGCGTGAAGGCACTGCGAGAAAAAAAAAAGGTGACAGGACATTAAGGTTGGAAAAACTGCTGATGAATTCAGAAGGTGCAACTGAATCTGCCTGTAAAATTTACACAAGACAATACTGAAGCTGTCTGAACTTTAAAATTTTCTTTTCTTTTCTTTAGACCAACATCTACAACAGACACAGGTCTTGAATTACCTTAAATGCCTTGTATTCAAAAATGTTTAGTCAGCGTTTGTCTGTTATCGAATCATGTTATTTGGAATCACATGTTGAACAGCTGGATTGACAAGCATCCATTAAATATCTATAGCTGCCTCAAAATGTCAACTTCCTTTCACTAATTACAAAGAATGGGCTCATCTTTGGGGGATTTTTGGGGGTCTTCCCCCAGAAAATTTTGAATTTAGTAGATGCAGTTTCCTGCATTCTGGTGTATTTTACAGGTTCCTAAACATACTTTTACCTACATAAAAACACTTGATTAAATAACTAAATTAGAGACACATTATTCATTCAGTTAACATCATCTTGTGTTTAAACTCACTGCTATAGCCACGATAATGAAATTAATGTGACACAATTTATCACAATGATTTTAGAGAATAATTTTACGTTTACATTGTTTATTCTTGGTTTAGTTTTATTTGTAACAGAACATGCCATTGTGCCAAGCAATGATGAGCCTCAACTGCTGTTTAAAACTAAGAACATTAAAAACTTTACCCAGTAAACASGTAAAATATTGATAACCACACACAGTGAATTTAGGAGGCATTTCTTTGCCTGATTTAATGACAGGTCCGCTCATAACAAACTGACATGACAGCATGCAGTCTTCAGAACATAAACTAACTCTGTGCCAAACAATGGTGACATAAAGAAAATAAATTTTGTCAGCTTGTATTATGAAAAACTGATACATGGATGTTTGGAACTGGTTAGARCACTAATGATTGGAGGACAGATTTATTTTCTAATTATTCATTTTTTATTTAAAAATTATGGCAAATATATGTCTGTCGCACAGAAAACAATAACTTGAAAATACATTTTTTATTAGACTGATTTATTTTTTTAATTACTATTTTTTAAACAGTTATTTTCAAGCTCGTGTAATTATTTAACACTGTTTGTACATATTTGATCATTTAGTGAATTACATTTATCACAGAGCAGTTCTGTCACAGTATGGTTCTAAATATAAACAAGGAGTGGAAAATGAAAGTTGTAAACTTATGATAAACTACAGAAACATTTGAAACACGCTCAGCTGGAGAACAYGGTGCTGTTCWCCTGGWGAGGATGAGGAGGTAAACGTTAAACRGAGATTCATCTTTGCTTTGAATATGGGACAAACAAATGTTCATCAGTGAACAGTGAATCTGACTYACAGCGTRCAGGTGCTGCAGCACACCAGGYGGTCTCKGCTCAGTTCGGTTCGCGCTTTAATAAACGCTCAGAACGCGCGCATCCTCGCCAGCGATGGAGGTGTTTATATTTGGCGCTTACGTTATTGTAGTAAARCAGTACATGTGGCAGAACACTTTATAACTTGTGAAATGTTATAGGATAGGAGAGCAAAAGCATGACGGACAAACAAACTGAACGTTGTGCGCAGCCTTTGCACGAGCAGCTTGGTCACATCACTGAACATATCTGTTGGATAACGGTGCTCTGAGCACAAATATTTAATATAAAGTTAAATTTTATAGACCAAAGTCTAAGGAGCAAAATGAGGGAGGAGGGGTTTCACTCAGGACTGACAGCTGCGCTGCTCACCTGCTGCTTTACTGACCCGCCTCTGCTCTGCTCTGCTCTGATTGGATAAAAGTGCTCTGAGGTTTTTTTTCACTTGTTGAAAGTAGTGGTGCGTTTAGGGATAGACTGGGCGACTTTAACAAGACCAGAACAGAAAACAACCAGAGTTGTTTTCTTTCTTTTTTTTCCCTACCTTACAGATGACAGAAATCCGTCCTGGCCACGTTCAAAAGTGATGGAAATCCATCGTGGTGACGGAGAACTTTAAGCYCTGGTTATTGTTTCATTTATTAAGCAGTTTTAACACTTTAAAGCAAACATCTAACAGGTGCCTCACCTTCAGGTATTTGATCAGTTCTGCTGGGTTTCTATCTGATGCTGACCTCATCAGCTGGCAGTGCTGGAAGAATTTATGTAGATGGAGGTCCTGAGAAAAACAAAACTGGAGCATCAGTATCTTATCACAGTGCTCTGTCTGCTCTGCAGATGTTTCCTCTTTAACGTGAAGAATAGAGGAATCACGGCCTACCTGAGGATAGATTGTTGAWACGACATGGCTCCTCACTTTGAACAGCAGCTTGGCATTTTCAACCCACTTGATGTCTGGTTGGGACTGTTTGAGAAGACATAATGAACAAGAAGAAACAACAGGGTCTGACTTGTGGGGTTCCTCTGAGATCTGTTTCTGGACATGTTCTAGTTTCTCTCAGTTGTGTGTAGAATCATTATGTCTAAGATCACAGACGCATGAGTGTGTCAGAAAAATCAAGCACCATTGATCTCTGTCAAAGACATCTTTGTCGGTCTGTTAACTCCAAAAGGTTTTCATGCAGGAGGCTTGGGTTCAAATCMCAGGAAGATTTACTTGTTTTCTTATTCAGCAAACTGTAGTGAAGTGCTAATATAAAACCAGAAGTAGACTTTTACAAAACTTTGACTTCCAGGTCATATTAACATCCATCTGTCTGCCTGACTAGTAGGGTTGGGCATCGAGTCTTGAGTATCAATTGGAACCGGGACAAATGTTTAAATTCTCCCGGAATTGTTCATAATTTCAAAATTTAATACCCAGTTTGCCATCTGAAAGAAGCCACCCAACACCAGTGAAGAACAAAAATCCCAATACATATCAGAACAGAAACTCTACCAGTTCTGCAAAAAAGAGTTAACAAAGAAACAGAAAGAATTGTGCCAGAAGCTTGTGGTCGAGGTGCAACCTGATCAGATACACTGACCAAAATATTCATGAGCATGTTTGTTTGTATTTGTAAAGGTACTTTTACTTCAAACCTAAAGGAATTCGAGAAAATCCACAATTTTCTCGAGATCTTACATTCTGGTACTTTAAAGCTAGAACGTACCTTTTTGCTGTCTTGACAGAGATACCCAGCAGGTAGTGCAGCAGCTACAGGTAACTGCAGCTCAGACGACTGCATCCTTCCATCCTTGAGCAAAGGCATCCAGGAGTAACCCACTGAAACAGCAGAATATTAACAGATCAATACTTCAATCCCAGAATCACTTTTGAAACTTTTACACATTTTTTTATAAAAAACCTTCTAATCCCAACCCTCCCAGCGCAACATTATATCTGGTTGAGTGTTTCAGTCAGTGTGCCTCACCCAGTGACTCCACTCCCTCCCTCTTCTTGCTGCCGGCCTTGCTGCTGGACTCACAGCTGATGTGGAAAAAGGTGAAGAGGATGTGGTGCTTCTCATCAATGTGGACTGGCAGCTCAATCTTAACCTGCGCACACACAAAGAGAACAATTTCATCAGATCAAGAGCCAAACCTGACCTCGGCATCCAAACAAGAGGTTTAAAACCTACTGAACCAACCTAAAAGCCAATTTACARAACGAGTATTTGGTGGCGTAATTCAGTAGAAATATGCACAAAATGGGCCAATAAGAGCTGGACTGTTTGCTGGCTACATGGCATATCTTAACGTGCCTGTGACGTCAACTTTTTGTAATACATAAGAACGCATTTTTGAAAAGATTTCATTGACAACATATTGAAAAAGAAATTTCACGTCGCAGAGATGAACAGTTGTTGAGATATTCACATGTGAAGTAACAGGAAGTGATGTCAAAGGGGAATGTCTGCATGTGAACAGAGCGTTGCTACAACAACACAGACTGTAGAGAAGAATCTGATGTCTAAGATTATTTTGAGTCTCTATCAGAGAGATGAAGAGTCAGAGTTCAAATAATATTGTTTCAATAAACAAAGACCAGAGAGTTTTCTTTGTTAAAGAATTCACCTTTGATGTCACTTCCTGTTTCATTTTGGCTGAGCCAAGTTCAAAAGAAAATATGCCAGTTATGGGACAAAATGGGTACAATCCTGTGCGTTAATCCAACTTTCTTAAATATAAAGATGTTTCTTTGACCTTTTGTATTTGAASAATATGCATGTCACRGGCACTTCAAGGACAAATCTGTCACTAAATGAAAAGAATTATCATCTTGGGAGAGACTCAATATCAAACCTACCTTTCACTGACTAAAAAAACCTCTGCAGGTTTGCCAACATGGGGTCTAAAATATGAACATTTTTGGTAAACAGAGAAGACTGGTGGATTGAGAAAAGGAAGAAGGAATGCGGTCATGTGTGTAAATGAATCATCTTTCTCAGGAGCCAGACAGACAAAGACCCTAACGASTCTCCACTGAGAGGGGCCAGTTAGTTCCAGTCTAATCTGCATGTGAATCTACAATAAGTACACAACGAGGCTTCTCATAGGTCTATAAAGTAGGGATGCACCGATATGAAAATTTCAGCCGATATTGATCTCTGATATTATTATTGCTGTTACGGCCAATAACCGATATTTACCAATATTACACAAACACACAAGTTATTTATATACATATACACAAAAACACACTTGTGTCTCATTTCAATACAGTAAAAAATGACCAGACCACTGACATTGCTTTCTGCTTCAGTTATTCCTGACTGTGCAGCGTCACGTAAGACCCTCTCACACTATAACGTTTTAGACAACTTGTGAAATTATTTTTACATCTAAATTACAAATACAAGTTGTATATTTGATCAATTTGTTAGCATTAAAGTATGTACACGCCTAAAAGAGACTTCCAGTTGATTTTTTTTATTCCGTCTTCAACATAGACGCCTTTAAAATTTTCATAAGTTGGCATGAGTTAGAGCGTGACAAGGCCTTATCAMYAACRTGATCAAACAGATACCACTCGACCGTCTCCCCTCCCAAAACAGAAACACAAAACTACAAATGTGGGAAATCAATGTTGGACGTTAATATTGGCCCAGTTTTACTTATCGGACCGATACCAATGTTAATGCCGATATATCGTGCATCCCTGCTRTAAAGCTTAGAATTCCACACAGTCCAGCCATTTTGAATTGAGAAAGTCTCTTGAATGCTTCCCAATAAAAGTCCAGTGTTTTTTTTTTTTTTTTTACTTGATCATGACCTAGATGACTGAGAATCTTCACCAGCATTTTTGGAGTTTATCATGTTTCTTCTCTGGCTAATAAATGTGCTCTTGCTCTGTGCAGGTTTTTTCTATAAACATCATAGTGTGTCACATTTCATTGATATGTTTTGGTTTTTATTTTCCTCATCTACCTTTGTGTGGTATATTTTTTTCTTTTAAGGATTGTGCCTCCTCATGATGTCTTCATRAAGATGATCCTTGCTCTGTGCAGGGTCTGTGGCTGCATGACCCAGAGCACCTGTTCTCCTATGTTTGTTATGTTCTGTCTTCTTCTGAATGKGTGTTCTGAACTGTAATTTCATTGTGCTATGTACAATGACAATAAAGGTCTATCTTATCTTATCTTGTACATTTAACAACATGTTGGTGTCAGTTGTACATGTCCTGACTCTTTGACAGCTGTCTCCCTCTACACAAATGTATTTTTGTTTGTTTAACAACCTTCATGTCCTCTTTTAAATACAGCTGATTGGAAACCACCAACAAGTTTTGCCACACTCCATGTTGACCATTTTAAACATCATGGATTTTAAGCCAACAGGTCTCTTGTTACAACAGGTTGATTATAAATATTTCTTCCTCATCTTGATGCATAATCTGACTCGGCCATCAGTGTGACGTGAACAAAGTATTTGACCCACTAGAGGGCGGCGGCAGCACGAAGATAAATGCTTCCTGTGACTCCATTCTCATTATTTATTTATTTATGTTTGTACAGGAAATGACTCTTGGTGCAAAGAGCAGCATAAACACTGACCTGTTATCATAAGTCCCAACACTTCTGTTTAAAACACAATCATGAATCTTTCTGCTGTGAAACGTTTTAGTTTTCCTGGGACAATTCAGATTAAATGTGATATATATTATTAAGACTGAAAGGGCAAACTACAATAGATAAAACTGAATCTTTGGTATAATAGTAACAATTGATAAACAACATTTTTTTTATTCAAACTGTTATTTCAAGTTGTAAAACTTCAGAGTGCATTCTCAGTTTCTCCTGTACTTGTGGCCTCCACRATCCAACTATGGATGAAACAGTAGAAGATAGATGAATGGATGGATTTCTGTCTGCCTCTCAATATTTAAGCAATAATAAGAACAATAATAAGCCCCTGGCAGAAAATAAACCACTTCTTTTGTTCAGAGTTCCAGTATGAGTGGGAAATCTTGTCACTGTAAGTTTGTGCCTTCACAAGGGTGCATGTGAGGGTGCTTAAGATCATAAGCCGTACAACACTGTGACCATATAAACCCTTCAGTCCCACCCCCGTGGCTTCATGYGTGATCAGTCCAGAATGAATTCACAGTCCCCTCCAAAGGCAGATTTATGGGATTATATCCGCTCTGCTCCAGCCCTTAAGTCATGACCACAAACACTGACCATTTAAAAAAAAATCCCAGGGTTTGATGCAAATTTGAATTCTTGTTGTTAAAGTGCCTGTGACATTAAATTTAAGTGGTATATTTGATTGCACATTTGGAAAGATAGCAATAATGATGAATTACAAACAAAAATTCACAACACTGAGATGAACMGWYGTTGAKATATTGRCATGAGCAGAAACAGGAAGTGATGTCAAAGGGGAATGCCTGAATGAGTTGTTACAGCGGCTAACAGACTGCAGAGAATCAGATGTTCCTCTAGATTAGTTTGACTCATTATCAGGTAGATAAAGAAGAGTCAGATTTATAAAGACCAGGAAGTTACCCTTTTTTTAAAGAGTTCCCCTTTGACATCACTTCCTGTTTCACTTGGACTGCACCAAATTTAGCAAAACATATTTTTGTGACAAACTGGGTAAAAATCATTTGATAGATGCCAAATTTCTAAAATAATAGGATATTTTCTTTAATTTTTTTGCAATTGAAGAAAAAGCATGTCACAGGCACTTTAATGTAACAACTCCTATTCACATGAGTTAAATGAAACAAGAGAAAGTGGCTGCCGTCTGACCTCATCGTAAAACTCCGGGCTCTGGTTGTGGTGCAGGACAGCTGCGTAGGTGCTGCTGGTGAAGAGTGAGTCTCCCGGCTTGCCGTAGATACACTGAAAGACAAGTGAGGACATTGCCAGTCATTAAACACAGTTTGATGTTTGAGGAACAGCTGTAATGACGTGCTCAGTAATCTGTAGTTACCAACAATGTGAAGAGGAAAGGCTTCTCAAGTACAGCATTAACAATGCAGACTGAGAGAATACTCAGGRGGACCAGAAGTCAGTAAAGACTTGTGATGCCTTGTTAAAGAAAATATACGCTTATTTTAACAAAACGGGACAGTTTTCCACTGGACTGTTTGACGGTTTATAACAGAAACTCTCTCAAAACTCCAGAAATACATCATTTTGACATTTGTCTTCTCTAAGCTGGTAATACAGTATATCAAYGTTCACAATACTACCCTTTTCTTAAAGAAAGAAATCTCACAAAGGTAACTAAAATAACCCAAAACTTACAAAAGGTAAACATAATAAATGAAAATTAGTCAGTGCTTTTGAACTTTAGTTATACAAAATTATCTAAATAAAACAAGCTWATGAATCTGGCCTTGACAAAATAATGGTACTGTACCTGTTGAAAAGACCATAAAGACAACATAAGCAACATAAGGTTGTGTCCTGTAAAAAGTATCATGGGTGTCTTCAAGCTTGTAATCAATCAGTCTGTTTATTTAAAGTCTGAAAAATGGTCACTGTGCCGTTTGGTATCATGGAGTGGACCACACTAAACATGGAGAACAGAAAGCTAAGTACAGAGTTGTTTTAGGAGCTTAGAAACATTGACAAACATGTTAAAAGGTAAAGGCTACAAGACAGGGGTGGGCAATCCTGGTCCTCGAGGGCCGCAGCCCTACATGTTGTACATGTTTCCCTGCTTCAACACACCTGATTCAGTCACTGAACTACCTCTTCCAAGCTCTGCAGTATGGAGGACCGACACTGACATAAATAGAAATAAAAGCAGAAACGGATAAATGAACCTTTAAATAAGTAAATACATTTAAAATGCACCAAATAAATTAAAAAGGAGAACTTTACCTCATGTTTTATAATTTAATTGACCTTCATATTTATTTTTACAGCTTAGTTCCAATAAGTTATATATTTAAACACATAATTTAAMTTTTAACAWTTTTTAATATATATTTTACATAGTTTTTCCTTTTACTTGTACATGCATTTGTGTCTCTTGAATGCTTAAATTGAATTATTTTTATAATTTTGTCCAAAAAGTCTTTTTATTTCTAAGTGTTGCATGCTTGTGCTGCTGCAGTTTAGCTTCAAGTTTAGTTAAAAATAAATGCACAGGCAATGTTTTCCTCCTTGCCTTTGTTTTAAACTAAACTTTTGAAGCTAATAGAAAGAAGATTAGAGGATAATAGAAATGGTAACAAAAAAAGCCCAGAACAACTTCCTAAGAGTTTAGAAGTGAGCAAGGTCATGGTACATCAATGTCAGATGGAACTGAAGAAGTTTATTGGGGTTGTTTACTACTGACCTTTAAAAGACACTACACATTGTATAGTCTTTTATTAGGTGAACAGTAATTTATTTATATAATGTGGTTATCTTTGATTTAATTGATGATTGTATGTGCAGACCGAGTTRTGGGACACTYGATCAGGGTCTTACAGACTCAGGAGGCTTTTAGTCAGATACATGCCTGATTTAAAACAACACATGTAAGAACAGTGATCAAACATTAGGGTGAGGAATAACGTCTGACATCTTGACTCCGTATAGAAATAGCCTGCCCCTTTAACATATGTCATGAGGCGGAGTCAGGATGCGAAGAGGCTGGTTACTTGATGGGTGTTTACTGGTTCTGGTCACTGYTTAGCTGATGCCTGTTGGAGGCACATTAAAACAAAAGCTAATCAGTCCACAGCTGTGTCCGATGGTTTTGAATGACTCACTCAAACATTCACATTATTATTATTAGCTGGTGTTCGATCTGAACAGGTAAAGAGTAAAGAACATTGCATATTTTTTTAACAGAACCGTACGTCACTTTTTGAGCCAAAGTGGACTTAATGAAAGCCAATCAAGGAGGACACCAAATAAAACAAGACAGTAATGAAAAATACTAGAATTTGCAGAAATGCATGTTGACAAGTCACAAAGCTTCTGGAAGAATGTGTTTTGGACAAATGAGAAAAGTTGGCGCTTTATGCCAACATGTCCCATCAGCTCTATGTTCTCAGAGACAAAAATGAAACGTACAAAGCAGTGGGACATRGAATGGTCAGGGACAACATTGCTCTCCAAAACAAAAACTCCAGTTTCTTGTCTCCTCACTTCCTAGAYATTTACATACTGTTGTTAAAATCGGAGGTGATGCTTCAGCGTAGTAAACATGGCCCTGTCCTAAAGAGCTGCATACTTCAAAGTCAAAATAAAATACCACCCCCCACCCAAAAAAAGTACAATTTATTTTAAACATAAAATTTTTTCATTCACAATGTTCCACTGTGAATAGTTCAAACGTTTATGAAGGCTCAGTTAGTCGTACTTTAGGTACTCACACAGGGTGCATGCACACCCTCGCCAGTGAAGCTTACGTTGTTGTAGTATTCTCCAAAAGGACATGTGGAACTACACTTTATTACTTGTGAAATGTTGTAAATGAGATCAAAAGCGTGATGGACAAACAAACTATTTGAATGGTGCGTGGCGTGCCTTTGCAGAGTTTCAAAAATTTGGAGGTGTAAGACCATGCGCAGGGGCGGGGATGGTGCGATTGCATCACTTTTGGCGCACGGCCCTCGCACCCGGTTCCACGTGTCAACTATAAACCTAGCTTGAGGTTTGGAAATCATTGCATTCTGTTTTATTGATGTTTTACATTCATTTCATCTTCTTCAGAATTAGCATTGTACATTAACGTTTAAAGTCACTTTCTTYTGAAATATCAGAGCTGAGTTAAGTTTGGAAGATTACATTTTTTAAATCCACTCTAATTGATCTGTTTCACAGAGCAGGAGCCTATGTTACAGATCTATGAGAAACTCTAGTCATTTAACTGGATCAAACCAGTCCAGGTCAGGAAGTTTTTAATGAGGAGAGTAAGGAAGAATTCAGARCTGATCTGACAGTGTAATAATATAATTAGGACAATAAAGATCCAAGCTGTCGCTAATGAACAATAACAAGCTGTGCTGGCCAAAAATACTGACAGAGCAATGGAGCCAGCTGAATGAAACCGAAGCTAATGGGACAGCGGATCACCATCATGACTGCACAGGGACCAGATGAACCCAAGCAATGAGAGAGACTCAGCAGGAGTTTAAATTCCAACAAAGTGGAAAAGGAAGGATGGGAACACATAGCTAAAATCTGCTGCTGCTGAACCGCAGGAATGAAATAGTTTTTGTGTTTAAAAAAATACACATTAGGAAGCCCTGAGAGCAGCCTGATGGGAGACCTGATTACCTGACTCGTGATGTGGGTGGAGGTGTGGGTGGACGATCTTATCACTATCACATACTGTCCTGTTGCAGCTTGTATTGTCCCACACAGGACTCAACACTAAGCAGTTTGAGCTGTAAACAGACTTCCATAAGCTTTGATTTAATGTATTACCCTCTGCTGCTGAAATGTAGGAGGAGGGCGATAATGCTTTTGCCCAAATCTGTGTGTCTGTTAGCAAWATAATTGGTGTGGTAGTAGCTGAGACTGTTCCTCAGCACATATTCTGAATGATGTTCAGAGGACTACATAAAATCTTTGACAAACTTTAGCATTTACTGCTTAAGTCAACCTTGTTTGTCTTTCGGAAAATACATTGTGAACTTTTGGTACAGCCTTATTCAAGATGGTCACCAAGTGACCTCAAAAAAACCTAAGATATCACTAATATATCAGTAAACTTTAACGGTATTGTGCTAAAATGTGGTGTGGGTGTAGATTACAATAACTCACAACACATACTCCAATAACTAGTCTGTGCCAATTCCGCACAAAAAGAGCCTAAGTCCAAACTGGGGATCGAACCCTGAACCTTCTTGCAGTGAGACTCAGTGCTATCCACTGAGACGTCATGATGCCACGTCCAACATCAAAGTCAGGAGATTCCTGATCTTCCGCTGCCTCTGATTAAATCTTCAGGGAGTCGAACTGTTGCTCCCGGTTTGTCACTTTGAGCATTGTTCCAGTCTGAAACATGTGAGACACGACACGGGTGACTGCTCGCTCCTCCGTCTGACTCCACCTAATYGACAGCATCAGTCATGAATTTTTTGGCGGATAAAATCAAAGCAGTTACTGTATGTGCTGCTTGCGCACTCTGAAAACATGAAAAGAAAAACAACTTTGTGCTAGTCACATAAGCTTTGGTAATTGTTTTATTCTGGATGATATTCCTGATGTAACCTAGGCTCAAACCTGCAGCATTTTGATTACAAGACAGCAAAACTGACCACAGCAGTTTATAATGGGGCAGAGTAAATGTATCAAAATCAATCAATCAATCAAATTTTATTTATATTGTACTTTACAACAGGGACAACTGAAMCAAAGTGCTTTCCATTAGTTCAGTAATAAAAAATAAACAATAAAAACCAGCAACATTGGTAGAAAAATAACAGTAACAGTGCATTACAGTGTGCTAAAAGCAGTTCTAAACAGATGTGTTGTCAGCTTAGCTTTGAACAAATATAGGTCATTGATCGCACACAACTCAAATGGTAATGAATTCCATAATTTTGGACCAGTTACAGCAAATGAACGGTCACCCCACTTGATATAGGGACTTCCAAAATGTGCTGGTCAGCAGAMCGAAGARCTCTGACTGGAYGATGTGCTTGTAACAGATCACACAAATAAGAAGGTGCAATACCACAAACAGCTTTAAAAACAAACATTAAAAGTTTAAAATTAACCCGTAAACAAACTGGGAGCCAATGAAGTGAGTAAATACAGGCATGATATTACTGTGCCTCCTGGTGTTGGTCAGGAGTCAAGCAGCAGCGATCTGGACCAATTTGAGTCAATATAGTTAACCCTGGTTTATGTTAACATAAAGTGCATTAAAATAATCAATACGAGAA